ATATATTATAATAATAGCATACAATCATTATAGAAGCAAGTATGTAAGTATTTTATATAAAAAAGGTGTATTTTGTTTCAGTATGCTGTCGAATTCATCACACAATTAATTGGATTTTTTATAATAAGAAGTAAATCTATCATAAATTAGTGCGTTTATTACTAATTTATCTAATAATTAGATAAATTAGTAAATCTATTATAAATAATTCCCAATGAATATTATACTGATTTGTGACTACGTAAACAAAAAATTATGTTCGTTATCCCATTGCTAATTCCAATTAATGTTGGATATTTTGAAATTAGACGTGGCGTTTATATTATCAAATCTGCAGTGACTTTACGTCACCACATTCAATGCCCGAATATCGACAGATTTGAGACTGGGGTAGATTTTCGGCGGCTTCGATCTCCTACAACGGAATTGAAACGTTAAGTTCATTGTAAGAAAGTTCTTCATTAATTATTTTGATTCACCAAAATGGAAAGATGCATTTTACTGTAAAAAAAGAAACGTGAGTGTTCTTATGTGTTATGGCATCGCAATTGTTTCTTATATTTAGAATTCTTTTAGCTCCACACGCGACGAACCATAGTCAGTTATAGAAAATGACTTCGAAACAATTGAAAAACAAAGCAGAAAATCATATCTTTTCATAGCACGATAAATTTGGCAGAAATTGACAGCAATCTCGTCTGGAACTGATGAAATATTGGGTAGAAGAGTTAAACTGTTTAATATTGGGCACAAGAGAAAACTGTTTAATATATTTGAAAGCGATTCGTTTATAAGAATTAATTAAATAATATTAAACACAGGAGAATGACATCTCTGACACGTAACTAGAAGTCTCTTTGTAGGAATGTGGAGTATGAAATAAATGTCATCTCATTGTTCATATTTGTTCACCAGAAGGAAAAAAACTTTACATAAACTTTGCTCCATTTGGAAAGAGTGCATCCTATAGAAGTCTTTGCATTATTTGGTGAAAAACTTTGGTTCTTTGTACACAAAACAGAGAAATTGTTTTCGCATCGGCTAAACCTGTAGGCAACTATGTTAATCTGTGATCGAAATTTCAAAATTGTAACAAAGCGAAAGCCGAACTTTACTTATCGCACTTTTGTTCTCGGAAGCAAAATGTACAAGATCCACGTATCATCATTGTGAGTTTTATGATACACAGGATGATAAATAGATAAAGATTTATATTACTTTAATTACTTTAAAAATCAATTTCTGTAATGGGAAACAACAATATTACTTTTTAATTGTTTATTAGATTCTACAACTCGTGTACCACCTATGTAAGTTTTAACACAAGTAACAGATAAGAAAAAATTGATGAATAATAGTAATATAACTTATATATAATTTTAAAAATACGTTGATAAGAGAGATATACAATTAGAACGAGCAAATGCACGTAGTTCTGGAATATCAATTAAAGATACAGTATTTTAATAGATATGAGAGAAGTGTTTTTAAATACAGTACATGTAATTAGTATAATAATGTATGTACGAGTATAGTCGTTATTATTGTTAAAATATTAAATGTTAATAAAGCAATGAATATATTGTCTGATTAGAAAACTGTATTTTAGTGTATTATTTTCGAATAATTTACCGTGAAACAAATTATGTAGAGACGTCTGAGAATAATGTCTACAGAATTATAGAGAGCAAAAGTTTATATCTTAACTTTATGGATGTATTCTTTACGTAATCCGTGACTAGATACGAAGTTTATAGTAATGTACCCTAGTTTAAAATAATCGGGTTGTAAACGGCAATATAGGCGATATCTAACCAAATTTCCTAATCATTTATATATATATCACACTCCAACATTCGACAATGTCCAAGCGAAGAACGTTTTTCTTCGTTGACTCTGTAAAGGAAGTGAGGGCAAAATGGAAGGTTTAACTTTATGATGTAAAAAAGCATAAAACAACATAATATAAAGCTTTCATTTTAATCAGTCTCGACAGAGATCATAGATGGTTAAAAAAATTGTGTAATTAAAAATAATTGACATTAAGTATAAAATTTGTTAGAAATCATGAAGTATAAACGTCAAAAATTCCATCTTGCTTTCACACTGATGGCAAGACGGAATACATAGGATATCCCTACATTTTACAATTGACACATAAAAACCATTCATCTTTTTTGTCTGTACATAGTTCATGTGCCCAACCAGAACACACTCTGTATTATGTGGTGAATACGGTTCACCACATACTACACAAAACCTTCATCCATCACCATCTGCAGTTTCTTCAGTCCAAGAACGTCTGTGGCTCTTTCTTATATACTTGCTCACCATCTTACAACAATTACATTCTCAATTAGTGAGATAAATTGAAAACATAAATCAAAATAATTTCGCGCGGGCAACATGGAAACTATTCCATCTTGCCCTAAAATGCAATTTTCCATTTTGCCCGTATGTCCATTGTCAATAATAATATCAACGCTTTAAAAATTCTTGAATTGTTTTCCACATTAAATATCAACTCATGGAATCTATCTCTAATAGTACTTTGTATAAAAGCAAAATTGTAATACTTACCTTGCAGGTAAAAATAATAACACTGGAAAAGTCCAATGATTGCGTAATAATCTGCTGCAAAATAAGAAATACTTGCACACGTCACTTGGTGGCACTAACCGGTCTGATTTTCCGTTTGTAAATACAAGATATCCGGGTATCTCTGTGTGCATGGAGATTCCGGTGCTTCGTCGCGCAGTTCTGGGTGGGTAAGTAGTTTCCATCTCGCCCTCCCTTTTCCTACACAAGTTTTTAGGCTTATTTTTTACTGTTTTTAAGACAATTTTTGATGCTCAGTATTTGTATTTATCTGATCGTATTTAATCACAGAAGGAAAAGGTAATTGATACAGATATCATTGGACTACATATTTGTTCTTTCAGTGGAAAGCGGTTATACTCGGCTACCGACCTTTATTATACAATAAACAGGAATAAAAAATTAATTTTATAACAATTTTTCAAATAACGAAATTAGATAACTGGTATGATATTAAAATGTGTTATTGTATAATAGTAATATAAATAACCTCAACGGACTCGAGAAACTATAAATCTCTTTGTGTTTACAACTTATCAATAAATCGATAATGTTTTAAATTGAAGAAAAAAAAGAGTTTATTGTATGAATTAAAATACATCAATTATAATATTAAAAATACTTAAATGTTATTACAATATATCAAATACAAATTGGTATTTATGCAAGTTTTTGTCGCAGAACGATGTTTATTCAGTATTCATCGATTCAAAATGTCGTTTATCCGTTTGAAACAATTACGGTTTGTCATAATTTAGTTTTAAGAATTTTATCATATTTAGGAGGACAAAGACAAGGCGGATTTACTTTCTTACAAACTGGTATACTAGTCAGCAAGCAATACGGTCTGCAAATTCCATGTACTTCTGCATCCGTACACTTTCTATAATCACTGATAACGATCGGAAGAACTAAAAAATAAATCAATTCAGTCGATAAGATAATCGCTGGAGTAATTACATTAATAAACGACACTTACCTGCGATACAAATCAAGTGAATCAACAGCAAAACCTTTGTCTTCTGCATATTATAACTTTACTGAAGCGACTGGCAGAGAGATTAATTAATGACTGACGATCATCATTAAAATTTTTTCTGTTCTTTTATATTGTTTTTCGAGTTAAAAATATTTACATTATTTGAAAAGCGAAATACTAGACGGTATTATTTGCATCAGAAAACATATAATTACAATCTTGCAAAACATTTTAAAGATTAATTACTAAAGTAGTTAAATTTCAGGATATTAATTGGTACGATCGAAATGATTTAATTTGAAATAATGCAATCATGCTCTAAATTTGTTTTTCTTAATTTTTTCTTCGTCGATGCTACTGTTTCTTTTCGGGATTGACAAGTTTTTGGTGGGGTCGACCGGATGGATAGGACGAGAACCGACCTAAACGAGTGGTTACGACCATAATGAATTTTTCGAGTTTTTTTCCCGTCGTATTCTGTTTCGGATTGTTCATTGTACTGTACAGTACATACGCATTTGGAATGAGGGCCACTTTTTAAAGAAGCAAGCGTAACACGGATTTTAACGAATGATAAACACGTGAATATCAGCAATAAAATATTTGAGAAGTATGCCAGAAAAAGCAAGAGATGAAACTAGAAATTCAATAATCAGTCATGAAATAAACGATTTTTAACCATCAAAATTAATAGCATCAATGCTACACATATACAAGTCACAGTGCCAAATTTCTTTTCTTAATCTTTCCTTCATCCTGAGATGTTAATTAAGCGAAATAGACGATATAGGAATTATATATAATCTATATATAATTTATTATAGGAATTATAATAATGTTTCGAATTTGTATCAAAAAATTGCCATTTTAAGGTTTTTAAACGATTAAATGAAGATTAATGGTAGAAACAGAAAACTTTGCTTCGTAAAAATACATATGTTACAATTGTTACAGTACAATAATATCAGAAAAGTGTTCTTTACATAGAGAATTTTTAACGAATTCTATTGCGAAGTCAAGTTTCTGAAATTTCGAGATCTATAGTTGTATATTCCATGTAATATATTGCTTATTTGTAAATTGGCAAATAAATATTAGGGGAGATCTGAATAAATATCGTGTGGTAACTTTTTCTCTTTTAGGATACTTTCGTCGAAATTGCTTCGTTGCTTAAAAGCGTAAATGGAGAAAACTTATAGAATTAAATAGCATTAATGTCACATGTCATCGTGAGTATAGAAACATCTTATATATCAATTATTAGTCACTTAATTTAATATGGAATAATACATTATTAAAGTAGCAAATAATATACTCTTATATTCATCATTGGCACACCATCGATTTTATCGGAATGGTCTGCCACATATGCTACGCGCATTTCACTTATAAATAAGTAAAGTACGCCGTGCCACGTGACGTATATCCCATTAATTCAGTTTTAACATTTGTATTCACCTGACCTTTGTTAATAAAGTATCAGGAGACTTCATACTTACCGGATTTCGCTTCACAATTTTCTGACAATGCTCGAAGCACCCCATATGCTTCGGCAATACAGGAGTGAAGGGTCGACATTGCCTTGGCGAAGAATGCAATGATTAATTTATCAGGACTGACACCACTGTGTCTTCTGGGTAGACACAGAGACCGTTACGTTCGCCTTTTATGCGCGAGCAGTCGTGTCTGTTGGCGTTGGACTCGGGATGCAGACCGCTCGAGAAAGTGCACCGAAGACAATTCTAACAATAACAAAATTGGTTTATTAAACTAGTTCTACAAAAGGGGTATTTACCCTAAAGCTTCTTCGCGAGAACCGAGTTGGAAAGAGAGAGCTTACATAACATCTCGGGTCGTTATAAATACCTGAAGCACTACGTACTGTACGTATTTTTAGATGTCTGTGGAGTCGTTGGGGGACTTGGAAATATATCTGTTGCTTTGGATGGCGGTTAAAGTCTATTGGAATTTGAGATTCGTTGGTTCTTCATAGGTGTTCCCGGAGAACACAGAATATTCGGGAGGAGCCGAGGCGACGAGCGATGATGTTGTGCATACCCTTTTGGCTGGCACACAGGGAATATTCTCGCTGATTCTCGACCCTTCACTGTTCCTTGAGTTCTCTTATTTATTTTTTCAGGTCACGTTGTCTTTTTCCACCAATAATGAATTTTTAGTTGTAGTTGACTGACATTCTGAGTTCCCTGGGAAAGGAAACGACTCCGGGAAGAGAAATGCACTTATCCTCCGGTAATATAACAGAAAAAATATTTTTTTTCTCTGAGATTTAAATAAATTTCCTATTCAAAACGAAAAATGAATTTTCTTTCGAAATAAAATTGTGTTTTTTTCTTCAGTCTGACCTCTCACAATTTTATTAAAAACTTGTCTGCACTGGAAGCTCTTCATTCTACTTTAGAGTATTGAAAATTATGGGAATTTACATCCACCAACAAACTAATGTCTTATGGTTATGGAGGACAATGTTATTATTTTACGGATATTTTTTATTTACGACAATAATTTTATTGTTTATTCTCATCGAATCGACGAAATACTTTACCAAATTTCATTTAATCCCGGAATTCTGTGGCGTGCCGAAATTGCAGAATTTGACAAACAGTAAAGTGCATTGTATGTGTTGTGTGGTGTTTGACGTTCCATTTCTATTTTTATTCACGTGCACGAAATATGGCCCGGTTGTTATTAACAGCATCAAAAGAATCGACGATAAGATCAAATGCGCGAAGAATATGATGAGAGATTTTCACAGTTACGTCGATCTTATATTTTTTTGCTTCAGTTTTGTTAATTTGGTGATGAGTTTTGTCATTGCTTACGCTGTGTGTAGAGTTTATTTTCGGTCATTTGTGCAAGAAATTTTTTGTGTATTTTACATCGCGGTGTCGGATGGAGCATCTGCAGTTCCTTTTTAGCATAGGGCAGCGGGTTATTATGGATACTTACTTATCTCGGTTATCACCTGACAGAGAAATTTATGTACGAAAGAAATGAAATAATAGAAAATAACGAAGAAATGAATAGTAAAACAATTCTAACAGAGCTTAGCATAATATATAATTGTATAAGAACAATTGATAAAATCAGTTAAAGTTTGATTGTCGCCATAGTGATGTTCATCATTCCCATATTGAGCATGGTATTTATATACTTAATGGTTTTTGAAATCCTCACTTATTATTTAATTTTGTTTGTCTTTATGTACTGTACTTACTTTTTACCCTGGTGTTGTTACAATATTTTCTGTACGTGACAAGAATTCCTTTCACCGTAAGCTTTTCTATTTTAGATTTATATTAAAATGCTTGACGTTTGTTAGCGAAATGCGAAATTTCTTGACATAAGTAAGAACGCTTAGTATATGGCAGGCAGGCTCAAAAAGGTTTAATAATAATATCTTGCACAAAGCAAGTAATTCGTTACTGCAGTGTTCACATAAAGACGAATTTTACGCATCTTGATAGATTGGAGAAAAACATCTTTAATGAAAGTTTCACAACGTTGTGATCTGCAGGGGAATCCAGACGGTTTTCTCGCTGCTAAATGAAATTTCATAGGAAAATACAGCAACAAATTGAATAATTTCCCCGGCGAAATTTGATAGCGCCACATGTTACCATATTTTATTAAAATTACTTTTACTTTTTTAACTATTATAAAATTGGAAAAAGCTCAATTCTGAGGGTTGGGATAAGTTTCATAAAAAATTGTAAATGTTAGTAACAAAAAAATATTTATATATATAATATAAATGGTTTGCTGTATATTAGTTAATATGACGATTTTAGTCTCTTTAATCCAAAATTATTCTTGGTAGGCAAATCTCACAGCAATTTAGTAACGAGTAAAATCGTCACACCAATGTTAGTAACGAGTAAAATCGTCATTAACTTCGGCTCTACTGAAGATACATACGACTTCCTTAATCTTTCCACCCTCTCGACCTATAACTCTCTCGTGGTTAGCACCTGGTCGTGGTGGGAGAGCCCAGTAACTTTACTGATCCATAGGGCAATGCAGGCTGGAGCACAAGCTCCAGTGCCAGTGAGGTCTATGGAAAGAAATGAAAGTAAGTGTGACCAAACCAACGTTCTGTGAAGACATTTGTCATGATAGTAACCAGATCAAAGTGTGATGCCGGCTCGGACGTCGCCCGGGTTAACAAAGTCCACGTTCGTGGGTTAGGCAGAGGCTCACGTTCGAAAAATAGGCCTCAGTCTCCCTTCCTTACCGGTGGCGAAAGCAGCGCCGGCCAAGACATGGTTACTGCAGGGCTACTGCATTTGGCTTACTAGCTATAAAGAAATGCAAAACACTTTTTTATAGGTTTATATTCAATAAAATTCAGTAATATTTATTCCTCAACACACTAGAAGATTTTTCATGGAAAAATTTAAACATAGAAATATTATTTATGTATCTATGTATAACACATATCTATTTATATTTATATTCAATAAAATATAGTTGTTTTTTTTGGTACATTTTTTTTGAGGTAGAAATTTGTCTACCTTATAATTAATGAGTTTTGATTTTGATAATTGGATTTTGGATATTGTTTTAAATAATACTCAAATCTGGCACACTACTTCCAGAAGTCAACAGAAGAATCAAACTAACATAATCTACTATGAGAGTTTATTGTAATCTTCAAGTCTACAATGCCAAGCCACCTGAAGATGTTTACAAGTTACTATTTCAAATTACGTTTTCGAATCTTTATCCAATCCGGAGATATTAAAAGAAACTACGCCAATACATATAAAAACATATTCACGAAATTTTTCTTGTTTTTATATCATTCTGAGTTCAGGAGATCTCATGGAGATTTGCCAAATGTCGGAAAGTAAATTCGACACGATTGCAATACATTCGCTTCTTACATATACGTAACAACTTGGAAATTATAAGTCGATATTGGACTTATTTCATATCTTACTTTTTCTGCAGTAGTCCGGCTGATGCGCGGGTAAAGGGTTTACCCCGATTTGGTGAGGTAAAATTTCATTCTATTTGCGAAAGGAGAGAAAAGTATGTATTACTGACAAAACAAATATACAGTTTTAAAACATTGTTTCTGCTTATTATTTTTATGTAAATTGACAATGTAAATATATATGTAA